AATATTTCCCTAGAGAACATATCCAAAAAGCTGTGAGGCAACTTCTAAATGGAAATCTAATACTATTGTGGTTTTAGAGAAATGCATGCCTCTGTCATTGTCGGCGAAAGTGAGGGCATCCCAATCTCTTGATGTGGAGGAAGATCTGAAAACAAGGAGAAAGTTGCATTCTTGCATAATTAGATGAAAGTCTAAAACAAGCAACAAAGACTTATGCAATAGCTCAGTTGTGATGCATATCAGTAATATTTAATCTTTGCTACCCAAATATTTCCGCCTGGTTTGCTCAATTGCTCGCCATATTATTAGTCAGTAATAAGGAAGTAGAGGAGAATGAGAATCATGGATGAAGATTTGAATGGAAGATCGAAAGAGGTAATGTAAGAATAAGTGCTTACCACAAGAGAAGTTTCGCATATACCCTTCCGTACACACACACAGACAAATAGATGCAAATACTTTAAGTGCTCAAGTTGCACATTCATTTTACATCCGTTTAATTACATTTTGGCAGTTTAATCCTGAATTGATTTTAGCATTGCTTGCCCTGATACTCTGTATTTTCTTATGTTGGTGCATTAATATATCAAATTGAAGGTCAAGAGCTTTAAGTTGCGAATTTTTACCACCCTTTTACACTATTATCTAGTTGTTTATATTAACTCCTTCCCATAATTGTCTTCCCGCTTTCACTTGAGATGCTTTTTTGGGAAAATGAAATTATGCGGTTCAGGTTCATTTAGAAAGGAAGCAAAACAATATCTATCACACAATACTTTCTGCAAAAGGAAAAACATGAAGAAAGTTTTGGGACAACCCAAGTAGGAAAATGGGAAGAAAACTATGGGATGAAGGGAGTATATTCTAACTGTCATTAACCTATCAGTAATTCTTCTAATTTCATATATTAATGAAAGCACAAAAAAAGAATTTAAGTTTAGTGTACTGGTTGTGTAAACTTGCACGCACGTGAGTGTCATACATTTACTACAAAAATATTACAGACAAATAACTATGTAATGACTTGTCCTACCAGGGTTTACTGACAAACCTATACAGTTATAGCCCAATGTTTGAATGCTTCCTAATATGGACACAAGCCTTAAGAGTTAAGACTGTAATTTAAGAACCAAAAACATTCTTTGAAAGAGAGGGAAGTTAAACTGATTAAGTATTGACATATTAAAACAACAACACAGTGGCCTCACCTACATTAGCTGAAAACCCTCTAATCAGGTGCATCTGTGAACTGACACACAAAAAATGCAAAATTTGTAAGTTGCATCAACATAAAAACTATACTGTAGCAAAAAGAAGAATAAACGAACCATGAAGACATTCTGCTCTGTAACATGCAATTCACTGATACATCTTCCTTGGGTGTCCTCATAAATGATACCTATATCAACTTAGGGAGTTAGAGGTGTTATTTATAATTTTCTTTCAAGTAAAAATAGAAATAGAAGGGACACAATTAGTATTCATATTGTGCCAAATTGAATAATACATAGTACTTTTTTGTGGAAGAGTACAAATAAAGACAAGTTGTGAAATCACCGTTGTGGGACTCATTGTTCTATGACTGTTTTTGAAGCCCAGCATGCTTGATTTAGTCGGTTGGGGTGATTTCAAGACACTCTCATTGTGACCAGTTGCAAAATGAGGTCGTCTCAAACTTGAAGTATCTGTGAAACAACAGAATTGCCAGATCTTTTGTAAAGTCAACAGATATTGTAGCTTAGCAGAGTTGGATCCTAATGTCAACTCAAGTACCTATACTTCATTGTTTATTCTCTTTCATTTGGTACAAAATTTGAGTTTTTTAGCAGCTACACAGTATTTCACTTAATTACTTAGTGTAGGTGGTCAACTGGAAGCACATTATATTAGGAAAAACATCAAAGGTAACCTACTGTCACTCCAGCGAAAAAACTAATAATCATTGCATAATTATTTACTATGTTCTACTGAATGACTAGAACTGCTACATTATATGCCATCATAAAATCCTCAAGGTTGCGAATAAGGATGGTTATGATAACCTATAAAAAGTTGACAAGCAAGATACTTAATAGCACAAGGTATGCTAATTAGTAAATAAACAATGTACTTGAAGAGAAAACACATTTCTAATGAACTTGCCATCTCCTTTACTGGTCAAGAGCCTTGTGTCACTTCTAAACCAGCGAACCGATACTCCGCAATCATGCTTTACCAAACTAGAAGTGCTTCTTATCTGTATGAAAAAGTATAATTCAAGTTAAATATTCTCAATGAGACCATGGATTGTAGTATCAAATATCAATAAGCAAGCATCTAAATCACACAGACAGAACCAAACAGCACACAGGTGCTTTCTATCTATCCAAAAGAAGACTGAAGTATGCCTGCTATTTGATTTTAATGGTTAATAAACGGGTGTTTTTATATGGCTTCCATTTCATCATGAATTTCCTTAATTTAATTTCATTATAAATCAGTAAGATTAACTAAGATATCATACAATGCAAACTAAGACTCCGATGGATCACAAATGCCCATTCATCACAAATTATTATCCCTAAAACAAATCTAAATTTGATATCTATCCAATGTACTGTTTACAGATGGATCAAGATCCATAAACACTACTTATAGCGCATCTGTCGCGAGGAAACTAACTTATGGAGAAATTGAGAAATCGAAACCTCCTAAGTCGTTAAAAAGTACCTTTCTGCAGTGACGCGCGACCTGAGAACCGCAAGTCATTGTGTGGATGCTCCGGGGCGCCTCCTCAGAAGATTAATATAAATCGCCGGGAAATCAAGGTGGATGTAGGTGGCCGGATGTCTTTGGAAGTGTGGGATTGACTGAGCTCAGGGTTTGAAAGGCAGATGTTAAAAATCAGTCAGCAAATTTTGGGCCTTGTTTGGAGAACGAACTGCAAACATTTTAAAAAAGCGAATTAGCCAATAATTGCACAATCACAAATTAACCAACTTGTATGAGATAGAGTAAAGAATAAACAATATTGCATTTGATATTTTAAGTATACAAATTCGAATTATTAGTGTTAATTGAGTACACTCGTCATATTAACACGTTAATACGGCCGAGTTGGCTAATACAACGCTAATAGATCGACTTTTTGAAGGTCGAGCCAGTCCCCAACCACTTCATCGACTTCCCCTCGGTCGACGTCAGTCCCTAGCAGGTCGACCTCAGAAGGTCGATTTTCCCTTTTTGGTCGACTTCGTGAAGGTCGGCGCCATAACATTGATCCATTACTCCTTCTTACTCAACATTCCGTTAGCCAACTCAGTTGTATTAACGTGTTAATCTAACAGGTGTACTAAATTAACACTAAAAATCCGAATTTGTGAACATGAAAAGATCAAATGCAATATATTGTACTCTTTACTCCACCTCATACAAGTTGGTGTACTCAATTGACCCTTTCCTCTTTTTAAATCTAAGGTGAACTAAATTTGTTTGAACGTCAACTAAGAATGTCTAAAGTCTATATAACATTTTTAGAACATTGACTAAAACAATATATATACCTTTATCTTTTGTGTTCTATCATATATCATATATCTTTTTATATTATCCTTTTTATCATAGTTTATCTTTTTGTCTTTTTTATCTTTCTCTCCTTTTGGTTCCAATATCATGTATCGTTTCATATTAACCAACCATAAAATCATTTGAGATTAAAACTTGGAAGTTATTGTTGACTAAAATATTAAACAACACATGAATCGCTAGTATATTTTAAAAGAAAGTATGTATAATTTTTATGTATGTGTCCATGCTATGAATATATATGATGTAAAGGAAAATGTTATAAGTAGAAATAAACTTACAAAAGAAATTTACAAGTGATATGATTATTGCAATCATGTTTGATGTAAATGGATGTGATGTGTTAAAAAATAAAATGCTACTGTAATACTACCTCCGTTCTTAAACAAGTGCAACATGTGAAATTTTACAATATTCACATGTTCTACTTTGACTACATTTTATTTATTGATGTATTAATATATTTTTTTGAAAAATATATTATTAAATTTGTCTCATTGTAAATTTTAAAAAACTGATTTTTTTAAATTTTTTACTAATAGAGAATTATATATATTAATGGTCAAAGTTGTGTCTCCGCAAGTGTGAAATAATGACTGTTGCACTTATTTAAGAACGGAGGAAGTACATACTAGTAACTCTTTCATGAGATTCTTTGTAACAGTGTATATACTTTTATCATAACTCTAATGTAAAACTGATATTTAAGAACTAAGAAATCAGTATTAACTCGTAATCACGTAATTTGTGAAGTTCTGTGTAATTTGATATTGTTTAAAGTTCGAGTATGAGTCATGTTTGAATCTAATCAAGCTAGTCTCGACTCTCGAGTAAATCTAAAGCAATCTCGAGCTAATCGGACTTGCTTTATTAGCACCCTTAATCCATCCTATTTGAGAGTTTCATTGCGAATTTGCGAGAGTATCGAATGAAGTACAAAATTTGGGTTCAAACTTTATCATGGTCACATAACTCACATCAGTCATTTGATTGGTTTAAGATTTCAAAATACCGTACCACGTAATTTGCCTAATAATAAAACTAAATTATACTACGTATTATGCATGGACCCAGGCCGGGTCGGGGCCAGGCCTAGGCCCGGTCAGGCTTTTGAGGTATGGTGGAAGGCCTGGAACCGGCACGGAACTGGCCCGGGTACGGGCCGGGCCTCGGCTTGTTAGTTTTTTTTTTTTTTTTTGCTTTTTCTACTTAACCCCCGACCTCCCCACCCCTCACCCCCACCCCCCAAAACATCCCAAAACACCCAGCCACCCAGCCCCAACCCAGAATAAAAGAAAAAATTGAAGAAAAAAAAACAGAACCGGGCCCAAATAGTGCCGAACCGGTCCGGTTCCGGGTGGCCCGAGTCTATGCCTATTACGTATATCGCAGAGCTAGCTTTGCTTCTTCAATCCAAGCAATTATGAAGTAGAAACTCATTTTGAATAAAGTTTCTTTTTTAGCAAAATCATAAATACTTTCCGAATAAAAAATATAATGATACATACAACAGCGCCTTTGTATTACTCCAATAAGTATAATCGCAAGCCTAATGCACCTCCCCACTATACTGGACAGAACAATGTTACAAGTGAACTATAAAAATTGCCAGAAACAACAAAAATCCTAATTTATACATCAGCAGCAAAAAAAGTGCAGAAGCATTATGAAATATCTGTTCTTGTAGCCATAGCTGTAGCCGAATACTTTTTCTGCAATTTACCTTTCAACTGCCTAATCTTTGCATCTACCCTAGCTGTAAACCCAATCTTTGTCCTCTCTCGGGCTTTCGACCTCTCTCTTGTCCACATATGCCGATCCTCAATGTCTTTCTTGTAGTACTTGATTTCTTGAATGATGTGATGATCCATCGGTTTGAACGCCCGTTGGAAAGATATGTGGGCCAGGTACGGAAGGTTACACGTCACCGTAACCAAAATAGTGGCCAACCAGTAAATCGGTGATGGGGCAAGAGCTTCCACAAGGACTTGATAGGCATTTTTAGAGATGTCCGGTGATAACGAGCCATAGAACAGGAGAAATACGTACCAGGTGGCGATGCTTCCCCAGATAAAAATGTGTTGAATCCAAGTGAAATGGCTCATAGCTAACGCCACCTGGCAGTTGACGGCCCACACGACACAAGTAAACATAGCGGTCCCCATGGCAGTGAGGTCAGCAGTCTGGCCTCCCGATCGGAAGGCTTGATCATAGAAAATGATTAGATTAAGGAAAAAGATGATGACTGAGGCGTAAAAAGCATTCCCCATCCATCCAAATATTCTATTCCAATTAAAGAACAGATTCTTTGGTCCTTGCTGGTAAAGTGCCGGAAACTGCATAATAATGCATTTTGATTGAATGAGTAAAGTAGCGAGTCTGCGCCAGGAGATACTAAAATTCAGGAATGCTGCATCAATCACAGCATATGTAAAATTATATATACTTCCTCCGTCCAAAATTGATTGCAATTTCTACTTTTCTTGGTCAACGCAATTCTTTTTTGTTCTCTAATTTTGAGTGTAAACTTTGGTCATATTTAAATTTTGTATTTGAGCTTTAATAGAACTTTTAATGTAGTCTCTAAATACGTATTTTTAATTATTGATACCAAGTTATAAGTATTAGCACGGAAAATACAACTGTCATGAATCAACCAAAATACCCACAAATTGCACATCAGTATGTGGAGGAAGTATATACTATATATGACTCGAACCTGTAAACAGACTTCAGAAGACACGTCCTGCTCGAAGACTCCAAGTGAAATGACAGGCAAGGATGTTAGAACCACATTGAAGAGTAACATATACAGATCGTCGTACATAGACTGCCCAGAAAAGCCAGTAAAAGCTTCGTAGTAAAAGAGTGTGAGGCCGAATGCTATATTCTTGTAGAAGAAATAGCATATCTGAACGAAGAAAAAACATTGAAATTGAAGTTGCAACATGTACAAGACAGAAAAGAAAGATAAATGAAGAATGGTATGCTATAAATGTGACTTAATTTTTGCTTCTTAATAACGGCCCTTTTTTGCTTTGGCTGGTATGAAATCATATGGGTTGAGTGCTCAAACCGAGAGTTCTGACCAACTGACTGGTCCGTGGGCCGAGCCAGGTCCCCAGCTTTCATCCTCGGACATGAATGTTACATCATTCAATTAAAAAATGGATAGACAGTGGTTGCATGTTTGGGATATTTAAGAAAAACGCTCCAACAGTAAATTATCTAGAAAAGCATTAGGTTGGCGCTTTTAGGTCACAAAAGTTCTTTTAAGTTTTAACTCTTCAAAGTAAAACTGATAACTTTCATTCCAATAAAATATCCTTTATTTCATTTAGAGCAGAAAATATGGTTCTGAAAATTGTCACAAGTGCTTTTTATATGTTCCAAAAAACATCCAGTACACAGTTTATATTCTGGCACACTTACTTATAGAAGTGTGCCTACTATGACTAAATACTACAGGCAGTAAAACAAATTCAAAGTCATTGTTTAGGTGTACTTTCCACTCTTTTTCATATTATTGGGGTTTTAAGCTGGGGGGCTATTAACATCCAAGCAAATGAAACACCAGAAGTAAATTCATTACCATCTGAGCAATACGTTTGTAGCACCAGTGACCATGCACAACAAGAAGTCTCTCCAGAAAACGGAACTGTGCAATAGCAAAGTCACTAGCCATAACTGCCTGCAATAAGCTCATGTGTAAACCCCTTATAAAGTGCAAACAAGACCAAGATATGTCATGCATAGATAAATATACAAGGTGCATGTGTGTGTGGCTAACGGCAAGCTTGGGGGGGCAAGGGGTCTGTCGCCCCTCCAGAAAAGTTACTAAGTAGGTTTAATTACCCCGAACACGTTTAACAGTTAGGTAAATCAGTAAATGTATGCTTACATTTAGTCTTCATAAAAACGTATATCATATAGGTTTAGGAATTCAAAACATTTAACTAGTATGAATAACAACTCCTCACAAGACGTTCAGAAAACACTAGAAGTTAGTTGACTGAATCGCACAAAAAATGCTACATTTTGTAAATTGTTACCAAAAAGCCCAGATAATTAGATTTTAATTATAATCATTGTATGCTGTTCATATTCACTCCCCCCCCCAAAAAAAAAACAGAAAATATTGCAGTGAACCAGGGAAACTTATTTCTATCACCACGGAACGATCCACATTAATATTACAGTGAACCATCATTTATAGAAGACTATGGACCATTATAGATCCACATACATGCTTAGATGCTTTAAATACATTCAAGTTCAACGAATCGAGGTAGAATGTATTACTGACTTGCATTCCTTCTGCACCACTGATCCCAACGCCAATGTCAGCTTCCTGAATCATTCCAACATCATTTGCACCATCTCCAATTGCTAAGGTAGTTCTTCCGGTACCCTCTTTTACTAACCTTGTCACCTATGGAAAAAGGAATCACATGCACGTACAGACTGCTAAATAAGAGCTTTCTTACCATAAAAGGGGTCAATTGAAAAATGTACTGTAATAAAATTTGAAAACACCTTACCAAAGCTTTCTGTTTTGGAGAGACACGGCAGCAAATAACAGATGCACAGTGAACAGCCAAGTCCAAAAACTGATGCTTCATGTCATCCTCCAAAGCGTATGATAGAGCCTTTCCATCAATTATCAATGCAAATGCAGCAAGTGGGTCCTTCTCAAGTTTTACCATTTGAGAGCCATTTGTGATTTGCATCAAAATACTCTCTTTGACAGCCTGAGAAGTAATAAACCACGCTCAAGAAGTTTAATAATATTTCCTGCAGGGAAATAGTAAAGTATTACTCCGTAGTTAACGAAACTAGACCTCATTTGTGTCATTTGTTGCTGCACCTGCGTTTGGCAATATGCATATTTGCTTCATCCCTTGTCGAAGCAAACTACAAGCGAATCTTTATAAGCCAAGAAAGTGTGTTAGATTGCTTAGAAGTTGGGGGGGTGGGGGGGGGGGGGGGGATTGACAGAAAAGAAACAATACAGTGTCCAAATTCTTTGTAAATCCATAGACTGACCCTATGTTGATTGCAGTTTCCATCTTATCACCAGTCAGAACCCAGATCTTTAAACCGGCTTGTGCCAATTTGTCAATGCATTGAGGAACCTGGGGGAATAGCCAAAATTCCAAGTCAGAAGATTGTACAACAAGTGCAAGCTAATAAACCACAAGAGGAAAAACATACTCCTTTCTGCAGTTTATCCTCTACAGCAGTTGCACCAAGAAGAAACAGATCCCTTTCCATCACATCAGATAAACGTTCAAGCATCGCTTCCCTGTCACTTCCCAATGAAGTCTTTGCTTTGGCAAACTCTTCATTCCAAGCAGAATACTCTGCTTCATCAAGCCTTTTGTATGCAATTGCAAGTGTACGTAACCCAGCTTCCCCATAATCATTCAAATGCTTGGTTGTGGCTTCCTCAAATATCCTCCCATTTCTTGCTAATCTATCAAATATGATGCTGTAAAGAAATTTAAGTAGCAGAGGAATTAAAATCCAGATAGGATACAAAAAATTATACACACACAATGACATTTATGTGATGAACAAGTAGATGTTCCTGAATGAGTAAATTTCAACAGCACTATGAAGGATGCTCAAACACACACCTGTCAGCTCCTTTGCAAAAGAGTAAAATCTGGCCATTCCCGTCCTGAACAATAACAGACATTCTCTTCCTCTTGCTTGTGAAGTCCAACAGATTAAGAACTTTGTATTCTCTGGAGTTAGGGGAAACCAAATGAAAATAAGATATCTGATTCAAAACAGATTTAGCAGTGGATGAAGTCCAAGTCATTCCATTAAATATTAGTCTCACCTTTCAATGGGATTTATATAAGAAGGATATCTCTCACGAACAGCTATGATTGACTGAGTTCTTTTACAGAACTCAAACCCAAATTCTCTGGCTGCAACAAGAAATGACGCTTCATCCGGTGACTCTGCTTCATAATTGAAGCTACCAGTCTCTTCATTTACTTCAGGAATTGCTGTGTGACAGATTGACAGCACTCTGAAGAATAGCAATATGATATCTGCATTTGATTCATTTAACCAATTTCCATTCATGAGCCGGCTATCCTGGAAGTTAAATCCCTTGATATGAAGTTTTTTGTCTTCTTCTTCTTTACCAGCAGTAACTGTCTCTAATTCAATTTCTGATCCGTTAGGTTTTCTTTCAGGGTCCAACTCATTGAACTCCATAGCCATTTGCTTTGCAGCTGCAAGTTCGATGTCACTAGCACGCTTTCCATATGCAGTTCCAGCGATGGAGCATTTGAGGAAATCCATTTGGTTGCATGTCAAAGTACCAGTTTTGTCAGAGAGGATTGTGTTAACCTGTCCTAACTCCTCATTTAAATTTGACGTTCTCGCTTGAGCAGGAGTTCCAGACTCTTCATCATACATATGAATGTCCCGATTCATGAACAGTGCTTGTAACACCTTGACAATTTCAATAGAGACGTATAGAGAAATGGGTATTAAATATCCATATAATATTAGAGCAGTAACTAGATGAAAAATCCCAGACAATGCAGGTCTGTACGTGTTATAGAAAACATTTCCATCGTCCCGAGGGTGTAAATACCACCAGTCTGGCATCTGGAACTTCACCTTCACAGCAAAGCCAATTGAGCTAATTGAGGAGATCAACAGAAGGAGAGTAAAAAGGATGTAAATAATTTTGTCCATTTGTTCTTCTATCCGGCTCCTCTTTGAGGGCGACTTAGTAGAGTTCTGCATGACTTTGCTATCAAAACCAGTAAATATAACCACTCCATATATAAAAGCTGTGTTCCTCAGCTTTGAATCTCTGAGGAGAATTTGAGTAGGGTCAAGGGGATACGTTTGACGTTCGTACTCAAGGTTCCCCTCAAAAGTGTAAAGATTTGGGTTGGGGTCTTCACATTTTATGGTTGCTCTGAAGTCTTTGAAAGAACCATCATCATCCAATTGCATGGTAACCTCCAATGCTCTTTTGACTTTTAAGTTTGTCTCTCCATCTAAGTTCATTGTTTCTACGTAGCATATTCCATCTCCGTAACTAGATGACAAGAGAAGCAAATCTGCTGGGAAAAACTGATCCTTTTCGACTTTCACAATGTCTCCAACACGAAGCTTCATCCATGGTCGTGGGCCAAAATTGCCACCCGGTTTATGGACCTTAGCTTTTCGTAGATTGACTTTCATATCCTGAATGAATCTCCGCCAGTCTTCCAAGGCTTCCTTAGCCATACTCAAACCAACAACAAAGACTAAAGGAGCTATCATACTAAGCGCAGAGAATGGTGAAACGGGTGTGAGCGAAAGCATTGCAGCTAGGAGAAAGTAAAGGTTAGCAACACGTCTGAATTGCTCAAATATGGCCTTTGGTAGGAACGATAATACATTGTACTTTGTGGTCGATATATAATTCGAACAGTACTTCAGAGGTTGCACATCATGGTGTTGGGGTTGGTTGCAATGGACGATCCGTGAATAACCCGGATTGGCCCCCCTATCCTCAGCAGCTTGTGGCGGCCTTATACAAGCAAATGTGTACAAATTGCTCCAGCTAAGCTTTGCCCTTATTCCCCCTCTTGCCATTTTTCCGTTCTCTCTTCGATAATGATGATTTCAACTCAAGGAAACGTGACCCTCCATTACCCCGGATTTGCTTTGGAGTTCCAATTATTTTAGTGAAAACTGTGACAAGAGGATGACAATGAACCTAAGATAGAGGGATATGAATATTTACCAAGATTTTATTTAAAGATAAAACATTGATTTGTATTCAGAACATATTTCTGACTTCAAGAATCCAGTTCTGGATTAAAATCCCGGTTCAACTAAAGCAATAGATATCTTAAGTACATCAAGAAGCATACTCACAAATATAATGAACTCTCATCCTTCACAATTCATACAATTGCATTCTTCCAGAAATTCAAGTGACAAAAGATAAAAAAAAATTAAAATAAAAAGCAAAGAAGGGAAAATGACACGCATTGCATATTGGCATTCAGGCATTGTCAGCTGAAATCGAAGCAGACGACCTTTCTTTCCACACAATCATATGATTATAAAGTATACAACTGTAGAAACGCACACATGGATAAGAAGACAAATTAGATCAACAGTCTCCCCGCAATCAAGATTGCCACTAAAAAGAACCCGGAAAAAACGCATAACGTACAGAATACCTGAATCTAAGGTGGGTTTGCGAAGTTCAGGAAGAAAGCCAGATAACAAAGGCAATGCAAGGGAGGGAAAAAGCTGCTGGCAGAGATCGCAAGTGCAGAGGTCAAAGACAAGCTATGGAGAGAGAGAGAGGGAGTGGGAAGATGGATTTAGGATTTTAGGCAATTGAAATCTGGACTCACTTTCTCCGTCCGGAGCCGTACCCCCACCCCCACCCCAACTGTCAGTATACAACTCTCTGTACAGTCTGAGTTCGTATACCGTGGTATCACCCCACGGTGAGCACCGTGCTCCCACACCCAAAACGACGTAGTTTTGCACAATTTTTTTAAAAAAATTTCGCGTGAACAGTAACGCGTGAACAGTACACGCGTGTACAATAACTATTTTTTTGGCCCAATAGTATGAATGATGTAACTCGCTTGTAAAGATATGTAACTCACGTTATTGATCAATGTAACTCAAGTTCATTCGAAATGTAACTCTTTTTTTCAATGTAAACCATGAAAAAGAGAGTTTAATTGCACAATTACTTTATGTAAATCTTAAATATGTTTGGTTTTTAATATCATGACCTGATAAAGGATTTTTAAAAAAATCATTTTTTTTGTTTGAATACCAGATTTTTTATTCATGTAACTCATGTTATTACAAATGTAACTCGCGCTTCAGAAGATGTAACTCACTTCTAAAAAGATGTAACTTTAAAAAATGTAACTCACATATAAAAATATGTAATTCCATGTATTAATTAATATACATATAAACCAATTACTCCATATCACCATACGCATCCAAACCAATTACTCCATAAAAAAGCAGTAAGCTTTCCTTCCCTAATTCTTTCCACAAAATCAAAGAGCACTATTCTTCAGCAGCTAACCGAGCTTTCTCTTCAGGGCTGGGGGTGTCAATTCACGATTCAAAGAAGCGAAGAGAGAACTTTTTTTGATTGGTTGGGGATTTGAGCTGCACGAATCTAGATACATCCAACGGGGGCTCCAATGATTTTCCATGTCCCTAAATTGAATCTGCGGAGAAACGGCCTGCGGAAAAGTTGGGAAGGAAGAAGATCGATTTTTTTTTTTAAATAAAACGGTGCCGCTTAGGGATCGGCACACCCTGCGCACGGTGGGTCGATCCCACGGTATAATCTGCGGTACAGTCTTCTCCGTAATTATTTATTTTCTCTCCGTAATAATACAATTAAAATTCGGTAGAGATTGCGTATTATACGGAGTATACATCCTGTTTAAGTAAGAGAATAAATTTTCGGGAGTATATTATGGGGAAAGAAGATTCTTACCGTAAGTAGAGGGTTTAATAAAAGAAAACTTTTGGATGTTAGGAATATTTTCACATGAACCCACGCGGCTTTCACAATATTATACTCATTTTATCCACTTAATTTTGTTTCATTTTATCTTTTTTATGTCACATTAAATTTGTCTCGTATTATATTTAATAATATTTAAATGATATCCATTAAATATTAATCACATAATTTCATTTTTTTAAAAGTTGTGTCACAGCGTTTGTCATAAATCAAATGGGAGAAAGGTAGTACATAAAAGTATAAAATTAATGGGAGAGAGGTAGTACGAATCAAATTATTAATTTGTACATAAATCAATTAGTTGTGCGCATATAGTTTTTGTATAAAAATTGAATAGTGCATCGGTGCATGCCAAAAATTGAACTCCTATTAGAAATTAGAAATTGGAAATATGTACATACGTAGTACTTGTACTTGTAAAGGCAAGAGATGCTATGATTATTATTCTCTCCTTCTTATATAATTTCGTTATATTATTTTTTCTTGATCAATGATGAAATATTTAATGAACATATTTCTAATTAAGAATGCTAGTCAATCAACCTATGCGTTGTACGACCGGATTTCCTTAAAAGTACTACGTAATTCATTTGATGGATATTTTTTTCGTTATTAAAGAGAGAGTCAAGACGCGGACGGGTCTAGCAACGGAGCTTTTTTTCTGGCTACGGCATAGATTTGGGGGATCGGCCCCGCCGTGTCCCAGGGAAGCTTGATTTGCGAGTGGATTTTGGGGCCATGACAGTTTGTGCGCAGATCGACTGGTATGTTTCTTCTTCGATGGACTATTCCGCATAGCGCGAGCCTTTGGAGAATCGGTGCCACTGTGTACCAGTGAAGATCGATTTGAATGGGCTGAAAGACGGTTGAGATACAGCCTTTTTGCGATTTGAATGGGCTGAAAGAGATGGAACTTGTTGGGCCTGCCGCGGGTCTGCGGTCAGCAATCTGCCAGCCTGCCGGTGCAATCGAACCGCGTGGCGCTTTGCCTGTTCTATAAAAGGGGAAGGGCGTGCTACACTATCAGCGATTGCTTTTAGTGTAGCGGTAAGCGCAACGATCCACAATTGGTATCAGAGCCAAAGATCACGGGTTCGACCCCCGGCAACAGCATGCTGCTCAGTTGTAGGCTGGCAGGTGCTGGGGGGGAGATTGTTGGGCCTGCCGCGGGTCTGCGGTCAGCAATCTGCCAGCCTGCCGGTGCAATCGAACCGCGTGGCGCTTTGCCTGTTCTATAAAAGGGGAAGAGCGTGCTACACTATCAGCGATTGCTTTTAGTGTAGCGGTAAGCGCAACGATCCACAGAACTCACCAGTAGTGAAGCAAGGCAGCGGAGAAGTGCCTATGTGTTGGTTAGGGTTGCGAGACTCGATTTTCCGATGCTTGGTTTGGCAATTTTGGCACTGGTGGTGACTGAGATGGGAGCTGCACCGGTTGTATTTGATCCGGGTGGAACTCTAGCGGTATGGGTCCCAGTTAAAGAGGGCGACTTTGGGCTCCATTTGACTGTTGGGGGATCGACGCAGTTATTTTGGCCACCTCAGGTGGTGGAGGAATAAGATGGTATGTGGATGATTCGTCCTCCTCCTGAACCGCCGCCACAGAGGAATTGTGTGACTAGGGTCTGGAAGGAAATGCTTGAAGAATGGATCTTGCGGTTCCAACAACTGAAGTTTGTTTATCTTTGCTATGTCTTGTTTGCTAATCTTTATTTTGTTTTTATTAGGTCAAATAATAAGGGTGGTAGAGTATTAGATTGGTTTATATTAGTTGCAATATTTCTGTTGAGAGACAATCAGGCTGACTCAGTCGCTATTGGCCTCAAAGCTCTCACATTTTCAGCGATTAAATTAGTCTCGCTCTTTTTAGGGTGGACTACTCTATGTGTGATAAAGAAGTCACGGGACCGTTGGGTGATTGAGTTTTCTCGCACTATAAAAGCGTAGCAGTATATGTATAAGTACGAGTATCGTCTCCACATGGACGGAAAAAAGGAATCAAAAATTAAATAAATTTAGCGATTAAGATAAATAAAATAAAATGCAATTGTGTGAGATTTGGATTAGTTGGGAAATTAAAATGCAACTAAACGATTAAAAAACTTGGTTCTTTCTAATTAATGACGGAAGGGAACAAAGATTGATTTCGGGGTAACCAGGTTTCTCACTATTCAGACTTAATAACATGAAAATTATTTAATTGAGCAACGCTAATCAATAATACTAAGTTCTGACCGCTCCGGCCTGCAGCATAGAGTACAATACTTTAGGGTACCATGCCGATCTCGCATTCGACAGATATCTAAAATTATTGCCAAAACGAGCGAGCGTATGACCCCTTAACCGCTACTAATCTCTTAGCGAACGATTAAGTGTGTGTGAAAGTGGCCTATAATAAATTAGATCTATCTTAATTTATTCTACATGCAATTATAAGCCTAGCTACGGTTCTAGGTTACAAGAGATATCAATTAAATCATTCAAACACAAATTAAACAATATTCATGCAATCAATCCATCATGAAATTAGCCTAGATCATGATTAACGCCATCATCAATCTCAAATCCCTAATTAAAACTACTCACAATTCATAATTGAATCAACGATAGAATTGAGATGAAAAGAATTAATTGTCATTAATTAAAAAGTTGGAACTTACAAATAATCTCAAGGTCTTGAAGAACAATGCGGAAAAACTACGTAAAATTCGTCCACAGGCCTCTCTCTAACCTACCTATGAAAACAGGGATTTACAGGATGTTTAAATACAAAAAAAACAGAGCAATTCTGGCAGAAAAAGGACACCGCGAGCGCACGCACGGCACCCACGCACGGCGTGCATGTCCCAGTGCAGCCGGAGCAAAAACACGCATAAATGGCCTCACACGGCATGCATGCCTCACACGCACAGTGTGGCCTCCAATAGCTCCTCCGTGATTTTTGTCTTCTGTGCACGGCTTGCGTACTGCGGACGCACGGCGTGCGTCTTTCTCTTCCAAATTTGGCTATGCTTCCTTCACCACAGTTGTAGCTAATGAAGTCTTCTATCCAACACAACTTTCAAAACTGGATTTGGATCATCCAATCAAACGATGTGGATAAAATGGTGGAAGGTCGCATCCTGGAATCTCAACAGCGATTATCTGAATTCATCGTCTGCTTTCACATTTCTCCTCTCAGATTCTCGTCATGGTGTCTTAATATGATTTTTATCCCTTGCGATTATGTTTCATATGGAACTTGAATCATGTACTTTGGATATTTATACAAAAAGATATGCTTGAACGATTGACAGAACGTCATCCTGATCATCGTTTTCAAGCTCTATTCGTCTTTTTTTGACCTCGTAGCCAATTCTAGAGTTTTTTGTCTTCAAAAGTTTGTCTTTAACACCTCATTGACCTTTAATGCTTCTAATCAACTCTCAAATGCGTCTCAACACTCTCGGTAACTTCTCAAATGCCAGTGTCGGGCTTAATTCCCTGATTTTGACTCCAAAAATACCAAATACGAACCAATGCTCGGTAAAATATGGCTTGAGCTAAAAACGAGACTTATGACACCTTTAAGCTATGAAAACCATCAAAAGCCGATCTCAACACGCATCAAATGCGTGTCAAAATACGGAGTTATCGGTGGGCTTAGGGTATGTTTGTCTATAGGGAGGTTAGTGTCTGAGGGTTACTTTATTGTTTGCAATTCTCCTGGCTGTACTGCTTGTTTTGATTTAATATAATATGCCAATTTCTAGTAAAAAAAATCATTTGATGGATAACGATTTTTAGTATATAATCAAATTGAAATTATAGAAATGAAATAATTCATAATTAACACTTAAGATAAACATATTTGTAGAACTTATTTTTTCTGCTTTATTCTATTATACATGA